TTGATACAGTAAATATTTATTGTGCCACTATTAGCAAGATTCTGTTTTTGGTAGGTACTGTAGGAAATGGAAAGATGAATAAAACTTCCTTTTGCTTTCAAAAATCTTGTCGTTTTACAGGATGCCCACCTCTAATGAAAAACTGTATGAGAAAATTATATCGTAAATAGTAAAGCCATATCTCTCTATATAAAAGCCAAGTGACCGGAATGCTGGAATGACTGGTTGCTATGATACGCACTGCAGCAGGCCAATAGGCCCGATTAGGGGGCAGCCCCTCTCCCCTGCCAGCCCCACCCCCGATAGGCTCCCTCCACCCCAATTGTGGGTGGGACTGGCCAGCCAACCTCCCATGTCCCCTCCCCTTATTCTCCCCTACCCTCCCGCTGACCCAGGCCAGCCGGACCCCACCCATGCATGAATTCGTGTACTGGGCCTCTAGTATTAAACATAGGATGTTACTGCTTTTGTAAGATAAATGCACTACCAATCAGAATCTGCCTTTTCTAGAGTATCCTCAGCCAAGCTTAACTCAGACTTCATTACCTTTCTCTTGAATTGTTGCAAAATAGGCTTTAATTGGTCTCTTTAACCTCAGAGTTTATCCTTCTGTCTTGCACAACGCAACAGAACTATTTCCCATCAGTTCTTCCAAACACATGTTGAGTCCCCATATTTATAAGCCATGATCTACTTTCACAGCCTTGCTCACTGCTTTCCTTCACAGCCTTGTCTCGCCCATTCCCGGCCCCAAGTCCTCAAGATCCAGGGATCTAGGACTCAACATAAAGAGTTCCTCTATTCACCTTCACATTGACACATCATCACTCACATTCCTATTGCTTTACATATTGTGTTTTTTTTCTTCCTGAAATGCTCTTTATCTCCTTGTCTGGTAAGACCTAAGTCATCCTTCAGATCCTAGAAAAATGTCATCACTTGAATAAAACCTTCTTTAATTTCCCTTTATCCATAGGCTGAATTAGGGTTTCTCTTCTCTGTATTTTCATAGTTTATAATTATATCAGTTACTTAGTTGGTGGAAAACTCACTGATTACATGACTTTGCATGCCCCTCTGCTTTTTTCCTTCTGAATTCTGAATTTCCAGCTGAGCCTGACTGTTAATTCATCTCTGCCCCTCACCCCCCAGTACTTAATGTGCTCAGTAAATGTCTGGTTCAGTCCTCCAGAAATACTATTATTTATAAAACAGTTAGACATATTTAAATATTAGATCAGGGAGACTTGGTGAGATATAATTTGAGTATAAATAATGGAGTTAGATGATTTATAATTCTCAGTCTGGCCCTTGTCTACATCTCCATTGGTGACAGCTGACCTGATTGGTATCTTAAGTATATACTGATTTCACCAGAAATGACTAAAGATAGTAATTCCTATTTCTCTTATTCTTTGGCTGAAGCACATACCCTCGTGAGGATAGCAGTACATCTGTCTAACACTTGTGAGAATTGACTGAGTTAATATATTTTAAAGCAGTTAGAACAGTAGTTGGCCCATGGTAAACATGAAATAAATGCTAGCTAGTAAGAATTTATAATATTCTTTAAGATGTGTTGGCTATAGAAATTATAAGTCATTAACTTAATAGAATTTTTAAATTAAAGCATTTTTATATGTTTCATACTTTGTCCCAGGTTAGGGATACGAAGAAGAGTAGACATGGCCCTTGACTTGTCAGTGCTCAGCCAAAAATTCTTCTTGACTCAGATTTGAAAAGATCCAGTGGAAAGATCTATGAACCAGTAACTTTGAGCAAAGACCCTTACCTCAAGCTCATTAGAGATCTCTTGTGAACTCCCTTCTCTCAGGTATTCTCTTAATACCTTAGTCAAAAGCACTTTCATTCTTCCATTTTTTCATGCCAAGGAATCTAGATGTCACCATTGGGTTTTCTTTCCAATCACCCTCCATCCACATCCATTCTATCAAAAGTCCTTATGATTCTGCCTCTAAAATACAGCTGTCTACTTCTTTCTGTTATCACTACTACCAACATAGTTCTTGTCATCATTATCTCTTGCCTTAAAATTGGTGTTTTAGTTTCCATTCCTTCCTCTCTACAATGTTTTTTTTTTTAAAAAAAAAAACAGCTATTTTTGAAACATAAATGATAAATTTATCAATTTAAAACCATTGGGCCTGGCTGGAGTGTCTCAGTGGTTGAGCGTCGACCTATGAACCAGGAGGTCACAGTTCAATTCCCAGTCATGGCATATGCCTGAGTCCTTGGCTACATCCCCAGTACGGCATGCAAGAGGCAGCTAATCAATGATTCTCTCTCATTGATGTTTCTCTCTCTCCCTCCCTCTTCTTTCCTCTCTAAAGTCAATAAAAAGAAATATTTAAAAACTGAAAAATAAAACACTCCATTGGCCTCTCATCATATTTGAAATAAAATCTTAATCCCTTACCCTGGCCTATATATTTTGGCTCTTGGTTACCTCTTTAACTCTCTCTCTCTTCAACAACTCTCTCTCTCTCTCTCTCTCTCTCTCTCTCTCTCTCTCT